GACTCCAGGTGAACATAGACAAGACGGAGGTTATGAAAATAACCAACCAACAACAACAACAGCAGCAGCAACATCCAGCACCAATCACCATCAACGGAAGGGATTTGAAAGAGGTTACTTCATTCACTTATCTAGGGAGCATGTCTCAAATACAGGTGGAACGGACGAGGATGTCAAATCGAGAATCGGGAAGGGAGAAACACATTCATCAACCTGGAAATCTTCGTCACTCAGAATCAACAACAAAATGATTCGGATTTTCAATACAAACGTCAAGTCAGTCAGTTCTTCTATACGGATGGATCAGAAACTTGGTGGCGGGTCACAAAGAATATTTCCAACAGCCTGTTGCAGACCTTTATCAACAACTGTCTTCGCTCTATACTACTGAAGATCAGATGGCCGGAAAGAACAAGAACCAACAAGAAACTATGGGAACAAACAAAACAAGAACCAATCGCTCAACAAATATGCAGGAAAAAGTGGAGATGGATTGGACACTCGCAGAGGAGGCCATTGGGTGACATCGCGCATCAGGCCATTGCTCGAGTGGAACCTGTCCGAAAGGGAAGCGGCGAGTGGGACGTTCAAGGGTGACATGGAGGGGATCGTGTGAAGAGTAGTTGAAACAGTATGGACTAACATGGATGCATGTGAAAAGTACAGCAGAAGACAGAAGCAAGTGGAGGCGTGCAGTTGAAGCCCTATGTTCCACTAGGAACACAAGGGAACAATAATAATAATAAGCCTTTTCCAACCAGACTCAGACTGTCATCTAACATTGTTCTACGAGGAAGGCAGTGACTCGTCATGCTCAACACATGATCTAATCATCTCAGTCGATGTAACTTCACAACCTCATAAATGGATATTTTCTCCTTACCTAATACTTCATGCCAAACCTTAATATTATCAACCATATTGTACCGCTTAACGTGGAGGTAGAAAGCAGAAATGTGCGGTCAAAGCCAACTAGCTAGCCTTTTCATGTCTTTCACTTACAACAGCCATGAAGGACAGAATGAATTGCTGAACAGTACACACACATACACTCTCTAGAAAGACTGACTGGCATTGAGCATAATAAAGCATAAGTCTATTTTATGTTTTTTTCCTTCACGTTCCCCAGTGAAACATAGGGCTTCAAGCTGGTGGCTTGAAGTTTTTGTAGCAGTGTTTATTTTATAGGATGTGATTGCTAGCCTCATGCCCAACCTTTCCTCTTCACCAGCATTATTTCTAGCTTAGCGAGGTAAAGGAGTGCGTCGGCCGAGGATCGAACCCCGGACCACGTGCATGGTCGGCGAGCGTCCTAACCACTATGCCACCGACGCACAAGTCAATTTTATAAACCACTATATGTCTATTGTTATTCGTCGCTAGCCTTCTAATCTACATTTTAAGTCCTTACAAATAACGGTTTCGCAGTTAATAGTGTTCTCTGAGCTGGTTGGTTTAGTTGCGAAGCTTTCGTCGTCCTTCTGGACAACATCTTCAGCGCCATATTTAGCACAAAGTGAAATGATTTAAATTTCTTCGTGAGTGATATAATTGCGTCTCCTGGTAAAGCTTCGCAACTAAACCAACCAGCTCAGAGAACACTATTAATTGCAAATCATCCACCTGAGCTACAAACCTTCTCTATTATTTCAATAACGGTTTTGTGTCTTAACTCTGAACCTCACCAAATGTACTAGTTTACCAACCAGTCCAAAGCTCAGGAAAAGACAGCAAGGGACTAGAGACCCTACCTCAGAAAACCAACCCAAAAGCTGCAGAAACATCCCTGGAATCGGACAGATAAAATGACGGAAGGTAGTGAAGGTCACCGAGAAGCCAGTCAGCCGATATTTTCATTCGATAAAAGCAAAAATAAGCATAACGACATGGAATATCCACACGATGTTCAAAGGTGGGAAGGCTGCCCTAATTGCAAAAAAGAAATGAGGAGATAGGACATAGAAGTTCTAAGAATTTGGGAAAACTGATGAAATGGAAGTCGACACTCCAAGTAAGTTGTTAACTGGAGAATTAATAATCCACTGTGGTCACTCACACGATAACCAGGAATACAGTGAGATAGTGGCCACTATCATGATAACAACAAGAGTATCGAAGGCTCTTATTCAGTGGGAACATTAATGAACTAGGTGCTAAATGTCAGCATCGAAATCTTAATGGGTGTTATGAATGAAAAACTGGGAAAGATAACAGATATGATACATTTTTGTTCAAGCGGAACCTGAATAGGAAACGGCGAGTTAAGTGTCACTTCGAGGGTGAAATGGAAGAGATCGTCCGAGAAGGAAATGAAAGCTTGTGAGCAATTACGGAGCTAGCTAGAAAAGGCCACAGAGAACAAAATGAAATCGAGATATGCTGCCGGTGCCATTATGTTCCATTCGGAACCCATGGGAATAATAACTGACTGGTTTCAACATAGAACTTTGCACAGATGTGCAGCAGTTCCAGTTCCCACTCTCCCTCCATATACCACACATAAAGCAAGAGAAGAGAGATTCAGAACAGAAGTGTGAGTGAGCAAAAAGAATAGTAATATGGAGGAACAATAGAGTTTTATTGGATATGGTAAATCACAAAGAGTAGTGAATGCATCGACGATTTTGAGCCATATCACCAATTGTCTCCAACAGTCATTGGTTCTTACCATCCCGAGGACCCCAACCCTACTGACAGCCTACACCTCCACACGTGCTGGCTTAAACTAACTATTGTGGATTTCACTGACTGATGAAGTCATGTTTTGGTTTGACCACTAGCTCTTTTCCAACCTGATCCTATGTCCAACATCACCCGTCGTCGAGGGAGGCGGTCGGTGGCTAGGCATGCGTAATATATGCCCCAACCATCTCAGTCGATGTAAATTCACAACCTCGTCGATTGACTACTCCTCCCATCCAACTAGCACTCGACCGATGCCTAACCTCAATATTGCTCACCTTATTATACCACTCAACAAGGGAGATAGAACGGAGGCACCTGTGATCAAAGACAGCTAGCCAGGCTTTTCATATCTTCCACTTTCAATGGCCATATCTCACTCACAGCGATGAAGGAGGACGGAGTGAACTACTGCCGTGCAGCACACACATCCTTTGGTCGACAGCCAGCCGGATATCACGTCTACGCCAGAGATGGCGTAAGGTGGTGTATGCCGAACGAGCCTTCAGCGTCCGTGCCGAGATTTCGTCAGCAACCAACCTGTTGGGATCGGCTGATGCAACTCCCCCAAGGGAATAATAATAATAGTCTTAATTTTGTCTCCTTACACTCAACTTTTCCTCGAGTGTCAGTTGTTGCCTACATGAAATTTCTAGTTGCCTACCCCACTGGTCCGGGACCTTAAATTCCAAGCAATAGGTCACATGGTCGAACCTTATTCCACCTACCAGTGAAGTTTTGTTAGCTAGGCAGTATGTATCACTAACCTCTTACACAATAAATATGGTTTACTGACCACCGAAAAAGGCACTTATTGGAGCAGGCCGACTTAATTCTGTTACAGTAGGAGGTTAGAATATAGAAGTTTACATCTGGACTATTCTTCTGCCAGTGAAACTTTCAGACCTACTACACTACTACAGTGGATTCGCAATACATAGACTCGTCGACTGGCAAAGTGAACTTCTATCCCACCGTTTTTGGCACTTACTCTCATCTAGTAAGCAAGGCAAAGTTTAAGAGTTCATTGGGCCGGGAATCACACCCACAACTCCTTCACAAAGGTGAGTTCAACAAAGAACTTGGCACCGAAGTGCAGCACTTCGAGTTGCCACGTTCCAAATAGCACACAAAGGTAGACAAGAAAAGGAGTGAAGAGAATCAATAGAGTTTTGACAAGTATAACAGTGACACAGAATGAGTAATGGTAGAAAGGAATATGAAAGATTACAGAGACTGAATACATCTGCATAAGCCATTGACAACGATTTTGAGCCATGTCACCTATTGTCTCCAGCCTTCATTGATTCTTAGAGCCCCGAGGGCGGGTCCCAACCCGGAAGTCTGCATCTCCCTCCCTACCTGACTGAGTTTAACTGTCAAGGATTTCACGGATTGATGAGGCCATGTTTTTGTTTGGCCACCACTTAGTCTTTTCCATCCTGCACCTATATCAGCCAGTAATGCCCGTCGGAGGAAGCGATGGCTAGGCATGCGCAGCACGTGACCTAGCCATTTCAATGTATGTCACTTTATAGGTTCGGTGATTGATTTTCCCTCTTTGCCCAACACTCTACGCCTAACGTCAACATTACTCACCTTATTATACCACCACCTAACGTGAGAAACGTAAACATCTATGATCAAAAACAGACAACCTTTTCATGTCTTCAACTCGTATTGGCCATGTTTCAGAGCCATAGAGAAGGACGGATAGAACTGCTGAGCAATACACACGTCCCTTGGTTGATAGCCGGATGTCACGGCTACGCCAGAGATGGTGTAAGTTAGCGAAAGCAGCCTGAGCTTTATGGATCCATGCTGAGATTTCGTCACCAATCAATCCGTTGGTAATGATACAACTTCCCAAATAGGTGAAGTGGTCAACATGTTCTATCACTTCACTCCCTATCACTAAGCTAGGAGTTGACGTAGTTCAGTCATGTAGCAGCACCGTACAGGGGCGTCGGTGGCACAGTGGTTAGGACTCTCGCCGACCATGCACATGGTCCGGGGTTCGATCTCCTGCCGGCGCACACCCGATATCTATGGTCGGCCTGAATTTGGGCTACCGATATCCATGCTGAAAATTCCACACTTGTACTGAAAATACGGTGTGGAATCAAGCTGTAAATCAAAATAAAAAAATAAATAAAATAAAAATAACATGGGTAATGCTTAGCCATCTCAGGGGCGAATCGCATGCCAAACATACATGGATAACATTCCCTCCAATGAACCACTGACAAAGTACACAAATATAACGTAGAAATGTCGACGACAGATTTTCACAAAAAAAAAACACGACAACGAAACAATAATGAATCAGAAATTTATTTATTTCCCATGAAAAGAAAGACTTTCAATATAAAGATATGCAGTTAGTCATAACCATGAACGTATTCAGCGATTGACCAATCACATTTCAATTTTAATGGACCCTGAATTTGTACACCATCTTTAGTTACAATAGCCATTTGATAAGTATCGAAGGCACTACAAATATTTAGAAAGACAAATAAAACAACAGCAAAATTTGAGTATTCATTTAAAATTTTTTACAAAGGTTTAAGGTATTACAATAAACTGATTATACAAATAAAATATATTTTCTATAGTTGGTTTGTAAGGATTAGTTTTGTTTTTACGAGTTGACCACGGATTGATATCAATTAGAGAACTCAGTGGCTGAATGGTATACAAGCCAGCTTGCCTTGTAACCGGTAGGTCCGGGGTTCGAACCCCGTGGTGTGGGTGCGTGTGCTGCCGATGATTCCCAAAAACTAGGATGAAACAGCTATCCAGTACTCCCAGATGGTTTTCAATGCTTCTCTAACTGATATCAATCCATGATCAACTCGTAAAAATAAAATATACCTTATTTACTCGCAGTATATACATAAAATTTGTTAGATGACTGAAGGCAATACAGAGGATGCCCTGGATCTAGATTCCATGAATATTGCGCACTCATTAAAAAGGCGTATCCGCAATCTCGGAGGAGTCAATGTCCTCTTTGATATTTTCAAAACGTGAATAGCTCAATGGTAACTGCAGCAGCAGCATGGATGATGCAGGCTTAAATATGACAAGTCCAAGTAAACATGATATATTGAGGTGAAAGGGGTTTTCGCAAATTCACTTCAACTACCATCTAACATTATTTCAAGACGTCATATGGTGACCCACAGTATAAATCGACTGATAGGATTTCATCAGGACTAATGAGGGAGTAGGCGCGCACACAACATTGATTACTACAACTACACTACAGTGAACAATGAATGCAGAGTTTATTATACACAAAGGGATAGATACGGTGAAAACTATTGCTTCTCGAAAAGAATATGAAGCATTTCTCTCTCTTTGAAAACAACACTACATAAATGAGGCACTTACCGACAATCACGTAAATACAATTGTTTCATAGAGCTTGTTATTGCAGCAACAGCATCTTCTTGTGATATATTGTTTGGATCTCCTTTCGCTTTTATCTCCACACATTCTCTTAGTATAGGAATGGCAAAATAAGCACCAAAACCGGTTGCAACACAATTATCGGCAAATGCTACAAGACATAGAAAATTGTTAGACAAGAAGTTATGAAAGAAAGGCAAAATAGGTGTAAATTTAACTAACCATGTAAAAACAAAGTGTAACTATTGACAGTAATTTATTGCTTAAAACCCCTTATTGTTATTATTATTATTCCCTTGAGTTTCGAGTGGAATATAGGGCTTCAACAACACATCTCCCCTTTATTCTATTTTCTGTTCTCTTCAGCTGGCTGGCCATATGATTGCCCATAATCTCTCATCTCCTCCTCGCCACACGATCTCCTCCATGTCACTCACACACCGACGACCCACACGTCGCCTCTCATAAGGATTCCACACGAGCGATGACCTGGTGTCCGGTTATTCGGTGACCTCCTCAGTGGCGTATGCCTGATCCATCTCCATTTTCTCCTACCTATTTATTCGTTGAGCGATCGACTCTTGGCTGGTTTGTTCCCAGACAGAGTTTATTGTTGCTTATTCTTTCCAGCCGACTGGTTATTTGATCTTCAGTATGAAGCCAGCTGTTGATAAAAGTCTTTAAGTTGTTGGAAATGCTTCTTGTGATATGCTGGACATGTTTCTGACCCGTACAGAAGAAATGACTGACTGACTTCACATTTGTGTTGAACAGAATCCGAACCTTGTTCTTTATGCTGGATGAGTGAGAGCAGATTTCCAAACTGGTTCAGATTGATGAAGATATATCTTGTCTTTCAGATTCTGACTGACTGGCCTCCAAAGCCTCAGGATGGTCGGGGGTGGGTGCCTTGCGCTGCGGGTTGGCCACCCCTCCGCACACCTCTTGAAATGCTCCCATATGACCGGGCGTCTTACATAGCCTCTCCTGAGGAAGTCCTACTCACTGCCTTCACGTGGCGGAGGTGTTTTTCACCAAAGTGAGAGGGCGAAAGCGGATGCCCGGCGCTCTTCACCGGGTTGACTGTCCATTGGATGACAGTCTAGGGGAGATGGCTAAACCCTGATTCCAAACCTCCAACCACTGGCGTATGAAGCTCACTGGAGCTCACCGGCAGACGTATGGACAAAGGGCTTGTTGGATGTCCTGGATGTCTGGCCCCATTCAAAAAGGCGTATGAACCGAACTCCGGTCACCGGCTGCCAATGGATAGTGGACTCCCTACTCCACTCCTACTGCCTTGTAGGTCACACTTGGTTGTGTAAAGGCTAGAGTTGCACTCTCAAACAAAAGACCGAGTGGTTCTGGGGACATCACTCGTACCAAATTCCCATGAAACTTCGTAAACTCTCTTCATCAGATCGCTGCGCCTGGGTAGCGATGATTTGAAAAGTTCATGAAGCCGGCTCATCCTTCCGTAGGAGATAGCCGAAGCAAAGTAAGTAAAGTAAGTATCTTCATCAGCTCCGACTGCCTGTAGTTAAAAGAATGTTGGCTGCCTAGATAAGTGAAGGAAGTAACTTCTGTCAAATCTCTCCCGTTGATGGTGATTGTTGCTGTTGGCTGGTTATCTGTATCATCTCCGTCTCTTTAATGTTCACCTGGAATCCCGTCATCACCGTCTGTTTCTTCAGCCAGATTTTTGGATTTTGCCTGCAAGTTTTCTAGTTTGTGTGAAATTAAACATAAAGAAACATCGTGGCAGGCTCGCCAAACCTCCCCTAGTTTTCTAGCCGGTCCCAAACCTGGGTAAAGAAGGAGTGTTGGGCGTGGGGCTAGCGACCTGACCCCACTAAACCAATCAAACCGCTATACAAACTTCGACACACAATAAAAAATTTTAAAAATATTCTAAAAAGTAACTCCTTATAATTATCACCAAATAGAGTTAAGGAAAAATAAGTGATTATGTCAGATGAGTCATTAAGAAAATTACCAACGTAACATTAATGCTTAACAAAATACATTCGAAAGGAAGACAGCAAGAGACAAAGTGCATAGAATTAAAAGAAAAGCCAGTGACAATCATCCATCTGATTTACAGTAAACTACACGACTTCGTAGAGAATTCAGTATGGAATTTGCCACAGAAGTAACTGAATAACTGTTTTCAGTATAGAATTTTGTACAAGAGAGTAGCAGTTCATCTTTCCACACTCCGGATATCATACAAAGGTAGTAAAAATGAGAATGCAAAGGAACTATTCTATGAACGGAGAAAAGAATACCTACATGAACAAACATGAGGACTTGATTGATCTGGGACACTACAAGAAGTGAACGCCATTAAGAAGGAATTTTTGAGCTCTATCACCAACAGTCTCAAGCAAATGATTCTAAGCATCTTGAGGAACCCGACTTGGCAGTCTACATCTCTATATTATGTGGCTGGCTCAAACCAAAAGTTAAAGACTTCATAGATTGGTCCCATATTATAATTTTGCTGCCTTTGACTCTCCTCCAACATAATCCCAGTTTAGCTAACACTGCTCGTCGAGAAAAACAATGGCTCATCATGCGCAACACGTTTCCTAGTCATCGCAATCAACGTAGCTCCACAATCTCATCGATTAAGTTTCCATGCTTACCTAACACTTTACGCCTAACCTCAAAACTAATCCCGTACCACTTAACACAGGAGATGAAAGGTAAACAGTTGTGGTAAAAGACAGATAGCCTCTTTAACTCTCAGTTTCAACGGCCACGTCTCACAGCTATAGAGAAGGACAGAGCATACTGCTGTGCAAGAATATAAAGGTACAAGTTTCCGAATTAGCAAAACGATTGATAAGATGTATCACTTCATTTTCTATTAATGCAGATTATTTCTGTAGCATCATCTTATATTTGACAGAGGCAAGTTGCATATCAAATATACTAAGATTTCTGCTCAAGTTGTTCAGAACATTCTTCATTTTGTCAGAGTCATTCACCTAGAAGGATAACATTATCTGCATACTCTTGATGGACAACTCCATCCTGGGAACAAGTCAATCTAAGTCACTAAAATCAATCTTAGTCACATCCTAGATGAGACTATAACAAATATACAAACAATAGGCATCCCTGATGAGCACCCTTGATTGTGATAACTTCAAAACTTCAAGCTGTCATACCTTGAAAAAAGAAGAATCAATGTAACGAACTGCAAGGAATAAATATGTGTAAGAGTGAGGTATATAACAAAGATGCATGAAAACATTCAAAATTGGAAACAGATTTGAGGCCACTATCCTAATAATGTTGATAAAGTAGATCAACGAACAAAAAACTTTCAGTATTTCTATATTTGAGTAACTCAGTCACGAACCAGTCATTGGAACTCTGCACATTTTGAGCATGAGTCAATTGAATTTCTTCTTGATACTTAGTTTGTAAAGAAAAACACGGTTATTAGCTAAGTTCTTGATCTATCCATTCTTATAACTTACGACACTGATGATAACCAGTACCAGGGCAAACACTTGCATTTAGAAGGCAAGGAACATACTGTAAATATCTGTCGTACGCTCCATAAACAATTCTTAATGTTATACTAATTAAAAAAGCTTCTAGTGGTAGTAGAGTGGGTTTCAATAATACAACAATGATAAAACTTATCAAAACGGAAGAGAATAGATATCTTAGTGGACTGACCTTATTGTTTGAGAAGGTCAACAGAATGAAAATAATTGATGATTCTAACATGAGGTTATCATTGTTTTTATTTTTGAAAAGTTTTAATGTACGCAACATGTCATTCCCATCGTGGATAAATTACCCGTTATTGACCTGATACTTTTCATATAAGTGGGGATTCACAGCTATCGCCAAGCAGATGACTATTCAGTGAAGGGCGTTATCATGAAAATGGAAGCACAAATGTCCTACCCTTAACACCAGACGGAGGGTTTACTCATACGGGTATGAAGACAACTCTTACTGCTAGTCTACTCTCTTGCGAGTCAGACTTCAAACCAAAGGCCAGAAGAGCAATCTCTCTAAAAGACTATCTATTTCGGTCGGAAAAAGTTGGCAATGATATATTGCCACACGACGGAACACTTAACAGATAATGAAATGCTCTGTTACCAATGAAAAACATTTTGTCAAACATAGTCAAGAAAAATCTACAAATGCGTCGGGATATTATAAGACTAGCAAAAAGCATACTAGGTTTACATCTAAAAAGTGACTTACAGACTCCGAGCATATTGCAGTACCCTAAGAACGGTTTTCCATCTGACTCTAAACCGCCGACAATATACGTATTCCACAATGGATCCAAACGACTACGACGGTTGTATAGTATGCGCGTAATAAGGCTATGAAGTGCATGCGGACTAGGAGAAGAAATTTCAAGAGAAAAGGATGAAATACCTCATCTGAAAACCATCGGCTATCAGACTTTCGAGATGCGTTTGTTCTTCTACATAATGTTTGAGAAATTGGAAATCCGCTACATCCCCACTGCAGCACATCACAGTATTTTTGTTAACCTATTAGAAGAGTAGCTTAGGAATGTGAGAATTCATTTACCTTAAACATGCGTTCAAAATCCATATAACGGGCAAGAGACCCATAAGAAACCAGCATGTCAGCAGCTAAAACGACTCCATCTCGAAACTTGATTCCAACAACAGACGTCCCTGTGCATGTTGGTTGCATGGTATGCTTCTTAAAATCATCACGTACGTCTGCACGACTAGATAAACCAGTTGGGTTCATTAGATCCATACACTCAGGAATGGGGAGAGACATTTTATATTTGGCGCGGTTAGAATTAGTAGATCAAGAAGAGTGTAAGAAATTTATCATTCAAATTTTTTGTTATAAAATGTAAGAAAATTGATATAAAATTAAAGAGTGAACATTTTTCAAACAACTGAACAATAGTACTGGCAAGCGCGTGCTTAGGCTAAGTGCTTAATTCAAACGCGCTGGTCGGATTTGAAGGTCACGTTTTTCTGTTCTTAGGACTGTATTGCTGGTATGGATGGGTCTTCGTTCGTATAAACTGCATGGAGCCTAATAACATAAATGTAAAACCTGAGCCACCTTTCACTAGTTTGTCTTCTGGAGTAATTTATCCATTATCTGTTAACCATAATCCCGGTAAAAATCACCCAAGTTCACTATGTACTGTTCTTCAAAAGGATTCTTATTCAAATACCTTGTCAGTTTGTATGCCTCAAATGGGGTTTCCAATAAATGATAATTTAGTATTGTCATCTCAGACGAAAGTGGAATTTTTTGAATCCGAATCTGATAGTAGTCACAATGTAGTTCCTAGCGCGTCGGAATCAATAACTAAACCTCTTTCTATTCAGTGTCTTGAGGATAATTCCAACGTACTTTCTGTCCATTCTCTGGCTTCCGAATTTCAAGTGCCGAATTTACCTAGCGAATGTGTTCATAAACATCCTGCACATACAACAGCTAAGCCTAGTGAGGCATTATTTGTTCGAGCTCTTATTGGACGGTGTAAACGTATTGCTCCATTATGGTTTCGGGGTGTTTCATCAATGCGTGAAAGAAATAGAGAGGAAAACCGTCGTATGGCGTGTAACAGTGGACAAAGCCAAAGTGATTGGAGTCTTATAGCACTGAAGATTGCAGTATGTTTTTTTCCCCACTTTTATGTGTTATATTTTCCCCTTGGATGCTTGTGCATTTAGTCATTTTTTAAATTATCACATGTTTTTGGGTTCGATTATTCCCAATCCTGGTGAATTATAGAACCTTATTGCTTCCTTAACCATGCCTATATTATTGTCATTGTTTTTCTTTTATTCTTATCCCCAGTGGAATTCCCTTTATTCTGCCATCTGTCTCACACCACCAAGGTAGTGTACGAGGTTTATTTAGGGATAATAAGATTTCTGGTAATATTATGTGATGGACCGAATGATTGTGTATGCAAATTCCACCAAGCGGGACACCGAAATCGCACTCAGTTAATAGATTGTTTCTATATTTGCGCATTATTTATCTGAATGTCTTTTCCAAATTTCACTTGTTTTATCAAACGTGCCTGAAAAATTGAATATGCTTGTACTCCGTTACTCATTTTAGTACTCATTTACACGTAGTTCTATGAAAACTTTATTTTTGTTGACATTAAATCAGGTAGAAAAATTGTTGCAGTTATCTCTCACATTGTAGACAGTATGTCATACAAATATTGCATGTTACTGCTCCTTAAAATCAAACATACGGCAAAATATTTCACGATTTTTGGTTTCTCAATAACCCTAAAAGATTCAATGAGGTTAAATAGATTAAAATATATACAAGCGAAACTTGAGGTATAAGACGAGTGGGGATTTGGAGATGGTGATAACATATTATTCATCTTAAGAGAAGAAGAAAAGAAGACATCAGCACTTTTACACCCTTCAACAATCTACTATTCATAGTGCTTAGGTTTCAGAGACCAACATATTCGTGAGTCACTTCCACTTGGCATGGTTTCTAAATCATGCTCATAAGGCCGTGTGTGATAGTAGGTAATGGTTTTATTGTTTTGAGTAATCGATGTGGCTTGCTCAAAATAATGTCTTCAGTCGTGTATGCTTATTATAAACAATGATTTTTCCCTAACCACGTCAGTCAGATCTAAGTAAACCAAACTCGAGACATGGGTTTTAAAGGCCAGTATGCTTCCAGTACTTCCGTAACACTAAATGCCAGTTTTTTATATATTGGCTTGCTGTAATTCAGATTTCAGACTCAGATTTATTGTTTGAGGGTATAAGCCTTGAAGCTTATGTTAATCCTTTTCTACTAAATTTATGTGCTTGTCCAAATCCTTCTTGAATGAATTAGTTGGGGTTGCAGACACCACTTCTTCTGGGAGTCGGTTCCAGGAGTTTATAATTCAGTGTGAGAACCAGCGCTCCACAGCAATATGGTTTCTTCTTGGCTTTTGAACTCTCCTGCTGTGTCCTCTAAGGTGTTCCGACCTGGTGGGAAGGAAAAGAGAGAATAGGTCAGGTCCGTAGTCATCATTTAAAATTTTAAACATTGTAGTTAAATCTCCTCTCTGCCTACGGTATGATAGGCAGAAGAGATTTAAACTGTCTAGTCTTTCCTCATGCTAGAAGTGTAGCACGACAAGCCTAATCTCCCTTCTACTAATGATAACTCTGCTTACAATAAAGGGAATTCACTCTTTTTCTGTTAATGCTTTTTTCATACCGAGATATCATGAATAGTTACATCACCAGACGAACTGTAAATCTGCTTCCACCCACGTTGTTTTGTGCTCCAGATACACGGAATAAATCTCTCATCTACCAGGATATGAGCCAAACTTATAATAAAGATTAATGCTACCTAGTTGCCGAGGTTCAACTAGGTGAAGTGAAATCAGCTTAGTGTCGAGTGCTTAAGACAATAAGCCACATCTCTACTTTCACTCAAGTAACAGAGCAATGGTGTGTATCTCCACATTTATAATTTAGTATGTGGTTATTGACTTAACGAATTATAGTTTTAGGCTAAAGAAGCTCAGTGGCAAACAGAAAATGTTTCGCCTACTTATACTGCCTACAAATAAGGCGAATTACCTGGACTGTTTAACGCGTCGGTGGCATAGTGTTAGGACGCTCGTCGTCTGTCTGTCTGTCTGTTTTCGACATAGAACTTTGCACATATGTGCGGCAGTTCAAGTCGCCACACTCCATGTAGCACACAAAGGAAGAGAAGAAAGTAGGAGAAATGCATAATAGAGAAGACAGTAAACAGAGGTGTGAGACAAAGGAGTAGTAATAACGAAGAACAAAACAGTTTCATTGGAAATCATAAGTCACAAGGAGTGGATGCATCTGCGCCACTGAGAACGATTTTGAGCCATGTCATCAATTGTTTCCAACCATTGGTTTTTACCGTCCCGAGGACCCCAACCAGGAAGTCTACATCTCCCTACGTGACTTAGACTAACTGTTGTGGATTTCATTGACTGGTGCCATGTTTTCGTTTGACCGCCGCTAGCTCTTTTCCAGCCTGACCCTATATCAGCTAACATTGCCCGTCTGTCGAGGAAGACGGCGATGACTAGGCATACGTAACACATGTCCTAACCATCTCAGTCGATGTAATTTCAGTCTCATCGATTGATTTCCCCTCCTTACCTAGCACTCGACGCCTAACCTCAATATTGCTCACCTTATTATACCACTTCACGCGGAAGTCGTCGACCATACACATGGTCCGGGGTCGATCCCCGGCCGACGCACTCTTTACTTCGCTAAGACAGAAATAATGCTGGCGAAGAGGAAAGGTTGGGCATGAGGCTAGCAACCCCATCCTGTAAAATAAACACTGCTACAGAAACTTCAAGCCACTAGCTTGAAGCCCTATGTTCCACTGGGGAACGTGAAAGAAAAAAAGTTTCCGAATCTACCTGGACTGTTTCAATAATTAGCCACTGATAAAGGTCATAGGATCGGGCAAATGTGTTTCAGACGAATAGTCTATCCATCATATTCCAGTGTGTATCGCTGGTTGTTAGATGAAATAATGGTTTTTGTGTTACTCCTCCATCCCATAAAATGGTGTTTATTCCTGTTCTTGAAAAGATGATTTTGTCTACATAAAAGTTTTGTATAACGTCTATGAAGCGGTTTAAAGCTTTTTCCCAGTAGCTTCATTCGATTTCTACAGATTTCTGAAAAGTTTTTGAAACTCTAACTTGTTGTATATCTTGTTTCCTCTTGCACTGACCGACTGACTGAATGACTGGTTTCAACGTAAAACTCGACACAGATATGCACCAGTTTGAGTTACCATACTCCCTCCAGTAACACACAAAGCAAGAAAAGAGAGTAAAGAGGAATAATAAACAGAAATATGAGGCAAAGAGTAGTATTATGGAAGAACAATACAACATTATAAATCCAAAAGAGTAGTGAATCCGTCCGCGTCAGCCATTGAGAACGAGGATTTTGAGGCATGTCACCAATTGTCTCCTGCCTCTCTTCTTGCGCTAATGGGTATAACTTAGGATTACAAAATGACTTGCTTTGAATTTTATAAATTTCCACTAGAATGATTCCATTATGGATAAGATTTTATTTTGATAAATCACACAGTGTTGTACAGTTAATATATTTGTGAAGTCACTAGCTGTCGATGCAAGCCACCTCGGAAGGTGTAAATTAACATTTTAACTCATAGGGACGCTAAGAGCAAGTAGCCAGAGACTTAGTCATATAGCTAAAATTGCCCACAGTGACTCAGATATTTTCACTTCTCCTTGTCTCCTAGATCCTGGAAAGATTCACTAATCTGCGGTTTACTATTCTCCCTGTTGTATCCGTTTGTCGTCTGTCATAAGATAACTGTGTCTCCGTGCTGCGTTTTATGAGTGTGCCAACTTAATTCACTGCACTTTCGACGAAAGTTCTACGTTGATGCGCCAGTCAGTCATAGGCAGAACTTAAACATGTTTAATAGTTATTCATTTTATATGCATATTTTAACTTCGTATATCACATACAGTATCTCAAACTTTTCAAATGGAACTACTATTTAATCAAGGGTACAGCTGTTGTGATTTCTATTTTTCTAAGCTTTGTTTAACCAGTTGTGTTAAATCTTGCCATCCCCCATGCTGTTAAATGTTTTGTACACTTCTGGATTAGTAGCTAAATAGTGTTTGTACATAAAATAAAGATTATCTGGTTTTTGCCTACAATAGAATAAGTGAGGGAGGTTATCCAGGAAATTAGGTGTACTCGTCACGAGCATTCATTATTCAACACTTCATCTTACTTTCAGAAACCCGGAGATTGCAATATTTTCGCCATTGATTGCGATTTTCCGCCTCATCTGATAACATCTCGGGCCACCGATTCAAACTATCTCTTAGATCCCACCCAGGGAGTTAAGATGTACTTATGGGTGCTAACCTAACTAATACGATACTTTGATTGGATAGTAGTAACTAGTGTGATGTGTATAGTCCTTTCTTTGGTGTAGATTGAATTCTATCAGTCAGGTTTGCAATTTGGCCACAATTCTAGGTAGTTCGCCATCATGGTGCACGTTGATTTGATGATATTAGATGGTTGGAGGCAATCGGCAGGAAGCTATGGACCTAGGTTTCGTGCTATTTGGCATTTGTCAGAAAGGCGTATCTGCAACCACCTTGAAGGAACTCATGTCCCTTCTGGCTGATAGAATTCAATTTGCACCAAAGAAAGGACTAAATGCATCACACTAGTTACTAGTGTCCAATCAAGGTATCAAATACACTCCTATAAGAGGTCAATTGCGAGCCCAAATACCTCAGTGATAACGTCTCTGACTGCAGTACTCACTGGGTGACGCGGGTTTGAATCTCAGAAGGGACATGAGTCCCTTCAAGGTTGCAGATACGCCTTGTGAGTGCCAACTAGCACGAAACCTAGGTCAAGCAAGGATTCCTGTGGCCGATTGTCTCCAACCATCTAATAACTAATATGAATACCCTTCATTCCATGGTGCCATAGCATAGGCTGATCACCTCTCCCCTTTTTCCAACTAGTCTTAAGGCTAGAGAACAGTAAGCCGTATAGGAGTCTCTGAGGTGACATTCATGTATTATGTTCAACTTGATTATAAAGTAGTTGATCACTTTTGTCTACGAAATACATGCTGGGAGTTAATAAGCTTTCAACAGTTAATCTGAGCATTAGACAGCGCTTTACTTTTCCTATCTAATAGCTAAAAACGATGCAAGTGTATCTTTACCTATCAGTTATCTTCTATTTTGTTTTTCGGCCAATTTTTTTTCCTGTCGATATTCAGTACCATTAAGCAAACTCTATTTTGTCTTTGACTATGACTATGTTAATTACCTTTGAAGGGTGTCAATGTAAGTGTTTTGCTCGAGGACAATGTTTTCAGCTGTAAGCTTCGTGACTGTTATCTTACGATTATATGGTATATCAACTACTTAGAGTATAAGTGGTCAGTCGACTAATCAACTAAATAGCGGCGGTTACCACTGTTAAAGTGCAAGCCAATTCTTCGAAATGTTAATCTGTCGAAAAACACGTGTGCAGGTCGGTTTAGTCAAGGTAGATAATCTCTCCTCAAAATAAGTTGAATCAGCAGCTCATGGTTATCCAACCTCCGAGGAAAGTGTGCTCCGATATCTTTTATGCTAAACCTCTATCTTTCTTCGCCTCAAATGGTATTATCACAGTATTTTTCCCTACCTGGAGGACATACGAACTAAAGGGCTGTTACAGTCACTACTCTACTGCTCCATACGGAAAAGTATAACCAAGTTTTCAAGCGTTGGTGTATAGGGATTTGATTAATTTCAAGTCACAACCACGAAATGGTGTGGATTTTTGGAAAAAAAAAATTAAAAATGAGGGTGATTAATAGACATCTGTTTCGTCCTGGCCTGGTACTCTTGATCAGTGCACGCATGCATGACTCACTGGGGGTCGAAATCAGGTCTTTCAGGTTACCCGGCGAGTTCTTTGACTGTTCAACTACTGGGAGGGGGGGTGAGATCCAATGCATGTGTACCGCTGAAGAGTTTCAAACTATACAACAAACGGCTGTCCAGTACTTGATTTTCAATGATTCTCATTGATTTCAATCAGTTCATAAATCAAACTTGAGTACCGAATTCGTTTCCTAACTTGAATGTAGAATGTTTGTATCTCTATTGGAATATGGGCTTTTTTGTCGATCTTGAGTCTTATCAAGATAAAGGTATATCTAGAAGAAACGTTCCAATTACTGTGAAAGGTATATCATGTGTTTAACAGGTAATCTTTGCGCGATTTTAATTTTAATTTTATTTCTCTATGTTCCCAGTGGAACATGGAGCCTCAAGCCAGAGCCTTGACGTTTCAGTAGCAGCGGTGTTTATTTTTATCTTTACGGGATGGGTTTGCTAGCCTCATGCACAACCTTCCCGCTCTTTATCAGTCTTGTTACTGGCGTAGTGAGGTAAACGGGTGCGTCAGTGGCCGGGTATCGAACCCCGGAACACATGCGTCGTTGGCAAGCATTCTGTCTATCTGTCTGGATTCAACATAGAACTTGGCACCAAAATGCAGCACTTCGAGTTGCCACGCTCCAAATAACACACACAGGTAGACAAGAAGATGAGTGATCAAGAGAATCAATAGAGTTTTTGACAAGTAGAAGAGTGAAATAGAATGAGTAATGGTAGAAAGAAATATGAAAGATTACACAAGAGACTGAATACATCTGCGTAAGCCATTGACAACGATTTTGAGTCATGTCACCTATTGTCTCCAGCCATTGATTGATTCTTAGAGTCCCGAGGGCGGGCCCCAACCCGGAAGTCTGCATCTCCCTCCCTACCTGACTCAGTTTAACTGTCAAGGATTTCATGGATAGATTGATGAGGCCATGTTTTTATTTGGTCACCACTTACTCTTTTCCAACCTGCACCACCTATATCAGCTAGTAATGCCCGTCTGGGTGGGGGAGACGATGGTTACGCATGCGCAGCACGTGACCTAACTATCGCAATCTATCTAACTTCATAGCCTCATCGATTGATTTTCCTCCCTTGCCCAACACTCTACACCTAACGTCAACATTACTTACCTTATTATACCACCACCTAACGTGAGAAAGAGATCGTAGACATCTATGATCAAAAACAGTCAACCTTTTCATGTCTTCAACTCGTATTGGCCATGTTTCAGAGCCATAGAGAAGGACGGAGCGAACTTCTGAGCAGTACACACGTTACTTGGTTGATAGTCGGATGTCACGCCTACGCCAGAAATGGCGTAAGTTAGCGAAAACTGCTCGAGCTTTTTTGATCCGTGTTTAGATTTCGGCAAGGATTCTACCGTTGTGCGATAGCTGAAGTTATTGTGTGCATCCCTGCAACCTATAATGACAACTTTACTGCGATTGTTTATTATTCTTATTTCTTTTTATATTGATATCCCTTATCTTATCAACTTTATTTTTTTAATTTTCTAATTTTTTTTATGTTTTAAGGAAATGAATGCTAACACAGAAACGGATGCCGTCTCCAATTTACTGAAAAAATTGTATAAAGAATTACCGAGTGATTCAGTATTTTGGTTTCTCAAATGTTGGCTAGGCAGTGAAGACACGCTGAAAGATCCTGACTCGTGTGTTATAAGTCGTGGTGATGCTAAAGGTCGTATGCGGCGTATAGACGGTGGCAAAGGTTCAGATAAGGTAGGTTGCACTGTTTTTTTTCTCTCACTGTTTTACCTTCTAAGAGTGGAACATATGGCTTTAAGCTTGAGCTGTACAGTTTCTGTATTAGCATTAGTAATAGTAGTGGTGTCCTTTTCCTACGAGGTGAGATTGCTGGCCTAACAGTATCCCTACCTTCCCTCTCTCTGTCTGGCTGATAACCGGTTGAGGGAGGTATAAAAGATTGCTCTGGCCGGCAGTCGAACACCGAGCATTTTGCCGCTGAACTACCGATGTACAAGCGGAAGGCATTTACACTTACTTTTAGTGTATTGAAATTGATTTCAATTAAATTTGATTGTTTTGTTGTTGTAATAGTTGACTCACACCATATTCTTTTTCTGATTGGTTTTTATTATGACACAAATCTTTTCAATGAATAATCATTATTCATGTTATAACTGGAATTCTCCGTCTCTATCTCTGTCTCTAATCAAATAAAAGGTAGTTAGTAGTTAGTTAGATTGTGATGATGATGGTAATAATAATAATGATAAATCACTTGCTTCAAAAGTTATTCACCCTCTTCTTCTTCTTTATGTGTTACCACCCAGTTTTAGGTTTAAAGGTGTTTTTAATACTTCAAAAATGGTAATATCACTACTAGTAGTACTAGTAATCGAATGAAATCAATCCATTCAAAGTACATATGAATACATATGAATTGGTAGAAGTTAGAATTCATGCACTGACCATTGGATCGGGTCCCAGTGGCCCTAATGAATGGTCTGCGAGCTCGCTAGCCTTGTAATCAGAAGGTCCTGGATTCGAACCCTGGTTGGGTGGGTGCGTACTGCTGAAGAGTCCCAAACTAGGCTGATGAAACAGCTGGCTGTCCAGTACTCCCAGCCGGTTTTCCAGTGGTTCTCTAACCGATATCAGCTCATGATGAAATCCTCCATCCAATCAAACAAAATCCCTACAAAACCAATACTTGAATATATATATATATATATATTCAAGCCTGTAGCTTGAAGTCCTATGTTCCACTGGGAACGTAAAGGATTTAAAAAAGAGGACAAAAGCTTGAAAATATGGTTTACGTAAAATCAAACATAAATGGGCTATATAGAGTCTACTATGCAACAATTCAGGAAAATAACATTGACACTAATGCCATGGTAGGTGGTAAGACAGGCTGGATCGAAATGTTTATGAACTCAGAGAGTTTTAGTTTTTCCTTATGGATTACCTGCCGTTTCAATTGCACGGAGAGAATGTAAGCGAAATCCTTTTGAATGGTCTCATCCTATCTTATATATGACTGTGAAGGAAGTCTCTGGTTGCTGCTGTATGACTAGAAGTAACAATAATATGCTTCAGAATTGAGCTGTTGACTGTTCTGCGTTCTCTTTTCAACAGTCATGCTGGTAGGTGCTCGTGAGTGTATTTAGACAAAGTCCTGCTAGTATGGATTATGTAGTTAACTTATCCATTCATTACCAGGCGAATACCCATCAAGCTATAATGGCTTGCTTCATATACTAAGCAAGGTTATGATACTATACGCCTACTCAAACTTCAACATGTTGGACTAGATTCGAATTCACTAACGACTGACTGATTGATAATCGATAATCGATTGATAATCGTGTGACTTTGGAAGTGTATGGGCGGTTGTTACTTCCCGGCTGCACACACCGTGGAAGTTGATTTATTCTGGAGGTACCTGTGTGACCACAGAGCCTAGGGGAGATGTGCTTGAGGCCAGCTGGTCACACACGACCTGTCTGAACTGGTTTCTTCGTTTGGTTCCTTATTAGTAAACTTACCGCCGGTTAAGGACCACCGTTGGTGGGGTAAGTCGGGATGTACAATTTTCGGAGTCAACCTTTTCTAACCCCCTCTCTCCAGATTGGAGAGACAGCATAGGTGACTGGCATGCCGGTCATCTGAAGGAAACACCTTAATGCTGTTACACCCCTGCTCCCCAGCAGTACGACTTCGCCCACAGACCTCCAGCATAGTGTGAAGTAAAATCTTACACTATACCTCTAACTGCTTTTAGTCTAATCGCTATCCTAACAACCTTCCTGGCATGTTATGACCTGCAGGAACAATAGTTCCAGCCAGTGTATCTTGTTGGGTCATTGTGATGCGCAAGCCCGACCACCACGTTAAGGTAGCAGCTATTGGTTGGGGGATTCATTAATCCTCATTATTTGAGGCATAAGTGCTCAATCCACTCAGCTAGTTTAGTGTGTTTATGTAGTTTACTTTTGTGGAATGATATCCATATAGTACAAATAAATAAAAGAATAATAAAGGCAACGCTTTGTTGTTTTGTTGTACTAACCTTAGTGTTTTAAATTCATTGCTCTTGATGAATAGAAGTGCTATTTACTGGAAAATATGATACTTCGTTTATTACTGTAGAGATTCTATTTGATTCATTTATGAAACACAGAAATGTAGATCCGTCGCCTTAAGCACACTCGATTCTCAGATGATGAGCTCAGGGTTCGAGTCCAAAATCACTTGATTCAGGCTGGGTAGTAAGTATCATTCACCTTCACCCAATATGAGGCTGCTAGCCTCACCCACCTTTCAACCTTCCCTCTCTTCCAGGATTATTACTGGCTAGTAATCTAAGTAAGGAGTTTGCCGGCCGGGAATCGAACCCGAGTCAGGTGCGCGTGGTTGGCAGGCATTCTACCAATAAACCACCAACTCACTTCGACACTAAATGGACATGATAAACCTTTGAAGAGTAGTTGAAATCATATTTGTGCAAGGGTTGGAATTACTGCCCTGGCACCCAGATCGAAACAGGTAGTTGCCTTAAGTGGACACCCCCTTAAACTTTGATTTGAAGTCCGATCCTGACATATAACATTAGAACAACGTCAGCAGCTACGTTTTCACGATTTCCGGTGACCAACGCAGGTTCATACATACCATTTGATCCTTTTTGGATACTGGAGCTTATGTGCACCATAGGTTTGGAGTTAGAGTTTTCTAGCTCCTGTAGATAGATAGACCAGCATGTCCACCAATTCGAATGTACATCTGCTTTCAATTCCAACGTGAAGTCAGGATTTACCTGGCAGTGGCTATGAACGCGTGTAGTAACACAAGCAAGACATTCTTGAGGAAGACTGAAGTTTACCCACCCTTGACCGTACCACGTCGTTTATGGGAGTTGTGTTATATAACTTCTCTAGTAATCAAATGTTTATACTTAACATAGTTTCCATCTTTCACTCTCAAATTAAGTTGGTTATGTTTTAATGAAAATGTGTTTACTTATTATTGTGTTCCCAGTGAAATATGCTCTACAGCAATCAATATATTCCATATGAAGGTGGACTACTTTATTGTTGTTTATATCCACAAGACTGGACTACACTGACTCCTAGCTTAGAAATAGGGAGTGAAGTGGTAGAGCGTGTTAACCACATATGCCAGTTTACTCCGTCTCTGCCGTAGACGTGATATCCTAATGGCTATCGACCAAAAGGCGGGTATAATGCTCAGCAGCCCACTCCGTCCTCCTTTATGGATGTGAGACCTGACCATTGAGAGTGAAAGACATGAAGTGGTATAATAGTGTGAGCGATATTGAGGTTAGGCGTCGAGTGCTAGGTGAGTTGGAGGAGAAATCAATCGACGAGGCTGTGAAGCTACATCGACTGAGATGGTTAGGACATGTATTACGCATGTCTCGCCTAGTCATCGCCTTTCTCGACAATGGGCAATGTTAGCTGACATAGGGTTAGGCTGGAAAAGAGCTAGCCAGCGGCAGTCAAACCAAAACATGACTTCACCAGTCAGTGAGATCCACAACAGTTAGTTTAAGGCAGCCGCGTAGGAAGTGTAGACTTCCTGGTTCGGGTCCTCGTGACGGTAGAAACCAATGAAGGCTGGAGACAATCGGTGATATGGCTTCAAATCGTTCTCAATGGCTGGCGCAGATGTATCCACTCCTTGTGACTTATAATATCCAATGAAACTGTTTTGTTCTTCGTTATTACTATTCCTTTGTCTCTATTATGCATTTGTTTTTACTTTCTTCTCTTGCTTTGTGTGCTACATGGGTGGGTGGGAGTGTGGCAACTTGAACTGCTGCACATTGGTGCAAAGTTCTATGTTGAAAACAGCTAGAGAGAGAGAGAAAAAGCGAGAGTTTATAGCCACTGAAGTGTAAGATACTTTCATTATTGATGTTTTGCTTCGCTTCTCAATAATTCTTCTTTTCTCTTGACTTGTTAGGTTTGGAGGTTAGATACAATCGTTGGTATGCTTTATCATGGATTGCCTATGTCAAGCACGGATACAAATATAATGATGCATACATGTGATCATGAACTATGTGTTCGTCCACAGCATATACGATTTAGAGCTAGTTCTGTAGCTCTAGTTGTCGTGCTGAAGGCTTTAACTCAAGCTGGATATACTATTATTCCGCCAACAATTTCTGCTGGTCCAAATGGAATCTCACCTAATGGTTAGTATAATAATATTATTTATTTATTTTTTGACTTGCTTATTGTCTAAATAAATATTGTTCGACATTGTCCACAGATTGGTTTAAATGGGATTTTAATCATGGGCCATTCATTGGGTTCCGCCCCGGTGGTTTGGAATGGTCAACGTGTAACAACAGAAGACAAGGGCCAGGCAACAAATCGTTGATTAAGGAAAATCAACACATATTTATAGATTTTAATGTACATTATTGTAGATTATTGTTAGTAGAAAATACAGTCTTTTGATTGGTTGTTTCTCACAGAAAGTTAACCTTGCATCTCTATGTGGCTGTGTCAGATCATCCATATGCTAACTGTATCCGCCTACGCAAAGCCTTTATTCTCATTTTCTCACCACCAATATTGGGGACATAAACATTGACGTGAATTACTGTCTACCAACTTTGGCTAGCAGCCAACTCTCACCACAAACGAGCTTGGTTTCGTGATCTGAAGGTCCTAGGTTCGACCCTTGTCGGTGTGTCCATGGCAGTGTGCATCTGAAGAGTCCCGTACTGGGACGAAGCAGATCTCCAGTGCTGCCTGATTTACAGTGGTACTCTAACCGATGTTAGTCCGGGAGCATTCCATTTTATTTGGTTCATTTGTCGTAGCAGAAAGTGATGCAGTATATTATGTACTGAATGACGTTTCGAGCACAGTTCATTTTTAATTTAGTCTGTTCATTGAGTCTCTATTTAGAATGAAATGGGTTGGTGAAGACTCTCTGTGATAGTCTTTTCGTTGGCAAACTATTCTTGATGTGATGCGGATAATGATTGAGGATAAAATGAAAATCTAGGTCTCCACAGGATTTGAACTAATGGCCTTTCGAATTGCCAGTCCCCTATGCTCGACTGTATCTATTGTATGATGAAGTCAAACATAAACTTAGCAGTTGGATGTTATAGTTCAGTCTGGAAGAGAGAGAGAGCATTAGACTGTTGGTGTAAGCTCATTGTTCACGTTTTCCTTGCAGTCATTGTACTGACTTTGAAGCGACCAAAGTAAGTGTTATACTGAAGCAGAAGAAACCTTTAAATTTTACAATAACATTGAGATTGAACTGGGGACGCCAAAGCTGGACGCAGAAGTGGTGATCATGCAGTATCCTCTAGGCTAATCCATCATCGTGCACAACGGCTACCTGTTCCTCTCAGCCCGCCCTACTTAAGTGAAAGCAGACAACGGCGTGAGACCTAAAAGTGTGAGTATCAGTATTAGTATATTTACGAAAGGCAACTATCATATGTATGTGTCCAGTACCGTAGGCGTGAGAGATAACCATGAAAGGATGTTTAAGCATCTTTGGTTTATTTCCAGACTAACCTTGGCCACTGTCAAATGACAATCCATTGTTTATCTGTCTACGAATCACTTCCCCCCTTTAAAAGGGACATATTACTTGCACCTGACTGACCGATGTCAATTAAGTGAGTAGCCTGTTGTTTACTGGAGGGTCTGGGGCATTCGTGGCATTCTTAGTATGTTGTTGTTGTTGTCTTTTTGTCGGGAGGTTTTTATGTCACGTTCCAACATCGAAGGATTTTGGGGCGTCTGATGACTTAGCTGAAGGTAGCTCAGGTAGTGAAGTTTCATGTTCAGCCTGTCACACGCTTGGGAACATCTTGTTGTTCGAAACAGGAGAGTTCGGCGTCAACTTGTAGTAATGAAGCACATGGTACAGGCGTCTTTGGTCTGGAAACAGACTTTACACTCTCTCGGGGACGTAGAGTTCGAATACTGATGAATTTTTGTCTGGCAGGTGCTGAATTTTTTTTATTTATTACAGCTTGATTCCACACCGTATTTTTGGTACAAGTATGGAATTTTCAGCATGTGATATCGGTAGCCCAATTTTGCAGGCCGACCATAGATATCGGGTGTGCGCCGGCAGGGGATCGAACCCCGGACCATGTGCATGGTTGGTGAGAGTCCTAACCACTGTGCCACCGACGGCGTCTTCAGTGACTTGTGGAGGATGGCCGCTTTGAGCGTCGTTGTATGTGTTGCTGGCTAAAACCGTCTTTATGTCCAACATTATTGCATTCTTGGTATCCGTGTTGCTTATACGGACAAAATTTGACGAAACGCCAATCACCACAATGCTAGCAGACCGATGGAGGTCTAATCTGTGGGTATCAACTGGTGGACGGTCAAGGTGTAGGGCCAGGAGGTGTTTGACAAGAGTTTTGAGATTTAAGGACCATCCTGGTGTTCAGATTGGAGCAAACTGGTTGTTCGAGAGATCTGTCCAACTGTGAAGGATCCAGCAGCAAATTTACGCATATATGTATATACGCTAGTGTTCTTCACAGTTGTTTATATATAACTTATTTGTTTTCTTTTGTCTTCTACTCCAGCATCTGATGAATCTGTAGACGTTTTTGGACCTTTTTCAATTGAAGAACTTCAACAGTATAGAAGTGGTGAGTATATTGTATTATATATAATTAAAAAGTACTTCCTTGTTGACTCATAGCCTTATTTCCAACTGGAACAGTACATTCTTTTCTAATTTTGATTCCTGTTGTTTGTAAATTTAAGTGTGGATTCATTTTTCCCCTCTCCTTATTCCTTTGCGTTCCAGTTGAGACATAGAGAGCCACAAGGCTTTTTTTCCAGCTGAAGTTTTACGTTAGCGTTGGTTTTTATTTACTTTTAGCGGGCGTGGAGTCACCAGTCAGTCTCATGACCAATCTTGCCTCTTTACTGGCCTTATTATCAGCTAAACGAGGGTTAGGAGTGCGTTGGCGAGTATTCTGCTGCTGCACCACCGACACTAGTGGATTCATTCGTTACTGTCTGTCTGTTTTCTACATAGAACTTTGCACCGATGTGCAGCAGTTCGAGTCGCCACACTCCCACCCACCCATGTAGCACACAAAGCAAGAGAAGAAAGTAGAAGAAATGCAAAAATAGAGACAGTAAACAGATATATGAGACAAAGGAATAGTAATAACAAAGAACAATATAGTTTTATTGGATATTATAAGTCACAAGGAGTGGATGCATCTGCGCCAGCCATTGGTTTTTACCGTCCCGAGGACCCCAACCAGAAAGTTTACACCTTCCTACGTGACTGGCTAGCTTAAACTAACTGTTGTGGATTTCATTGACTGATGAAGTCATGTTTTGGTTTGACCGCCTCTGGTTAGCTCTTTTCCAGCCTGACCCTATATGAGCTAACATTACCCATCGTCAAAGAAGGCGATGACTAGCCATACGTAACACATGTCCTAACCATCTCAGTCGGTGTAGCTTCACAGCCTCGTCGATTGATTTCCCCTCCTTACCTAGTACTCGACCAAAGCCTAACCTCAATATCACTTACCTTATTAAACCACTTCATACGGGAGATAGAACGGAGACACCTATGATCAAAGACAGCTAGCTAGGCTTTTCATGTCTTCCACTCTCAATGACCAGGTCTCACAGCTATAAAGGAGGACGGAGTGGACTGCTGAGCAGTACACACGCCCTTTGGTCGATAGCCAATAGGATATCACGTCTACGCCAGAGACGGCGTAAACTGGCATATGCGAAATTAGCCCTCTGTATCCGTGCTGAGATTTCGTCAGAGATCGACCCGTTGGGGTTGGCTGATGGTACTTCCCAAATAATTGAAGCGGTCAACGCTCTCCACCAACCACTTCACTCCCTATTTCTAAACTAGGAGTCAGTGTAGTCCAGTCCATTCCTGTAACATCATCTTACATTTGGCGGGAGCGAATCGCATGCCAAACATTCGTAGATTGGAGCTGAAGGTGTTCAGAAGACTCTGCATTCGTTACTACTACTGTGATGATTTATTGAAGGGAGTGGGGTTCGATGTGGGAGTGCTAGCCACTGATGTGATGTCTCTAAAGGTGTTGTGGTATACTGCTTGACTAGCCTATTTTTACGTGTGTGTGTGTGTTTGTGTGTGAAAGAGAGAGAGAGAGTTGTCTTTGGATAATCTGAAAAGCATTGGCTTACACTGACTTACGCGCTTCACTTGATCTAGAAATCGGACCTAACCATCATCATCATCAACAACACAACATCAGAATCATCCCAGCATACATTTGCATGACTAATTGAAAAGAGAAAAAGCAAACAACAAACAAACGTGAACACGGCAGATGTTTTTCAAGTTATCTTGGTAGTTTTAGGTAATAAAAATATGTATATGTTTGTATGTATATAGATGTTGGATTAATTAACTAATTAATTTCACAGACATTGGGTAGATTTTCTTCCCCCCCCTCTCCTTTAGGAAAACAACTGGATAAACAAAGAAGTATGTAGGAGTTAGTGTTTAGTCAGTTATTTCTGTTGTTAAAGATTGCCTGCAAGTATTTCATTTTATCCCTTTGCGTTTCAAGTGTGAAGTGAGGTTGTGCTAGCCTCTGGAGAGTCCTTCTAGGTGAAGACACGCCTGACCGATAGCTGCTACCTTGATGTGGTGGTCGGGCTTGCACATCGCAATGACCCAACAAGCTACACTGGCTGGAACTAATGTTCTTGCAGGTCCTAACATGCCAGGAAGGTTGTTAGGATAGCGATTAGACTAAAAGCAGTTACCGGCATAGTGTAAGATTTTACTTTACACTATTCTGGAGGTCTATGGGCGAAGTCGTATTGCGGGGAAACAGGGATGCAACATGCTGTCTATCCACTCTGACGGAGAGAGTGGGTTAGAAAAGGTCAACCCCAAAAATTGTACATCCCGACTTACCCCACTTACGGTGGTCCGTAACCGGCGGTAAGTTTACTAATACGGAACCAAACGAAGAAACCAGTTCATACAGGCCGTGTGTGACCGGCTGGCCTCAAGCAGTTGTCCCCTAGGCTCTGCGGTCACACAGGTACCTCCAGAATCAATCAACTTCCACGGTGTGTGCAGCCGGGAAGTAACAACCACCCACACACTTCCAAGAGCACACGAAGCCTCCCCGAGCATCATTCTTTTTCACCGGTATCACCTTCATCATCTTACTCCCCTACTACAGTTAGTACTTATTCTTCAGGCTCTAGTGAGTCATCTTCACTCCACTCTGTGACCACAAACAACGATGACAAGCATAGACAGGTCAAGACGCTGACAAAATCCGAACACCTTCCAATGTTTAGCATGCGCTTCGCTTCTGTGTCAAATGTAAGCTAGTGCTACAGGAGTGGACTACATTGACTCACTGCTAACTCAAAGACAGAGGCGAGTTCAGTGGTTGTTGTTGAGCGTGTTGACCACTTCACTTTTTTTGGGAAGTTGTATCAGCCAACCCCAACGAGTTGATCGATCGCTGACAAAATCTCACCACGAATACACAAGCCTCGTTCGGCCTATGCCCGCCAACTAGCTAAGTAGACGTGATATCCCGCTGGCTGGCTGGCTATCGACCAAAGGACGTGTGTACTGCACATCAGCGGTAGTTCGCTCTGTCCTCCTTTATCTCTGTGAGTGAGACATGGCCACTGAAAGTGGAAGACACGAAAAGCCTGTCATAATCATTTAATGATGGTTTAACTTCTTTTTTTTCCCGCCTCAAAAATCACAAACTCTCTAATCAAAGTAACAATGAAAAAAAAGAGACAGGTAGTATGTTGTTGCTGCTGTTGTTTTTGATGATGATGATGATGTTTGTCTTTCTGCTGTCTCCTACTTGCTTGTGAGATGTGTCAGTTCACTGTTGATACAAAAGTGTGGTTATAATTTGACCATTTGACCATTATGAAACCTGGCACCACGAAAAAAATTGTTACTTTTATATTAATGCGTCACATTATATCCTCCTTTGTTAGTTCATCATGTCCACTGCATCACAGTTGTTAAAGTCAATCACTACATTCCTTATAGGATAATAAACCGGTCTCTCAACTTGTGCGCTTTCATCTATCTATCTATCCGTCTATCGTCTTGATTCATTTTGTTTGTGTGTGTGTGTGCTATATTCAAGACACAGGTCTCTCTCCCTCTCCCTCTCTCTGTATCGATAACCAGTTGTTAACTAGGTGTTGTATTTCCTCCTCCTGTCCGTCTCTTTTTTCTCCAACCTTGTGTGTAAGCGTTTTTTTCTTCACTTTATCAAAAACTTTTGCACAAAATATGAAACATTTTATAATGCAGCTCAAATTTCGAATAACCTTCAGGTCGTTGTTTGTATTTTTTTGGAAAATATATAAGTTCAGTTTTTCTCTTTGGTTTGGTTACAAATTGTCAAAGACTTTTACATCCTACTTCATTGTTTGTCTTTGTGTGTTGTTATTTTCTCTCTCTCTCCCACCCCCCTCGCCTCCCGGCTTCCCTGCTGCCAACGCCTTGATAGAAAATTTAAATCCTGCAAGTGAATCAATGTCTAAGCTGACACTGAGTGCAACGGATCGTGAACTAGTTGATATGGTCCCTGTGATTAAAGATGCCCTGCAACAGTCTGAAATATCATCTACACCGGTCGCCAACTTGAATCGAGTGAATTCACTTGTAAGTCGCTTAGATTTTTATGTTGTTGTCTTATTCTTTGTTTGTCACTATTATATTATTATTATTGCTATTTAATTGAGTAGTTGAATTTTAGATTTTCCCGTCGATTGTGATTGGTTCGAAGTGGAAGTGCTCAGTCTCAAGTTGACATGTCTGTTGGCTTCTTGTGCAGATGCTTCGACGCGATGTCTGGGCATGTAATTAGAAGTTGTTAATTGGTGGATGGTGACTGACTAGCAGTGACAGAATCCAGGATAATGCGCATTTCCTCCTATTTGGGATTCGTCATCCGCTGGATGTACCTGAATTTCGCAGTGAGTGATGATGTTCCCACAACCGAGGCTCGAACCCAGTGCCCATAGTCTCAAACGCCAAAGCGTGTTATCCACTAGACCACTTGGGCCACGAGAGCCACCACCTCTTGTACCAACGGGTCATATTAATTATTTAATTGAATTTCTTAGATTTTCCCGTCGATTGATTGGACTGAGGGGTCTAGTGGATAACACGCTTTGGCGTTTAAAACTATGGGCACTGGGTTCGAGCCTGGGTGCGGGGAACATCATCACTGACTGGGGAATGCAGGTACATCCAGCTGGAAGACGAGTCCCAAATAGGACGAAATGCACATTATCCTGGATTCTACACTGCTAGTCACCATCCACCAATTTAATTCTATTATTACTATTATTTATCGATTTTCTGATTCTGTGCATTTCGATAGTGTGGGACCTAAGGCTTCAAGCGCTTTAAGCTCCTTGGAATTTTGGTATCAGTGGTGTTTAATTTTTGCGTTTTTATGGAGCGAACTGCTGAACAGTACACCCGCCCTTTGGTCGATAGCCAGCCGGATATCACGTCTACGTCAAAGACGGCGTAAACTGGCATATGCGAAACTAGCTTTCTGTATCCATGCTGAGATTTCGTCAGCGATTAACTCATTGGTGCTGGCTGATGGTACTTCCCAAATAAGTGAAGCGGTCAACGTGCTCTGTCACTCCACTCCTTATTTCTAAGCTAGGAATCGGTGTAGTGCACTCCTGTAACATCATCTTGCATTTGGCGGGAGCGAACTGCATGCCAAACATTCGTAGATTGGAGCTGAAGGTGTACAGAAGACTCTGCATTTTGTCAGCGTCTTCATCTAGAAGGACTGTAGCATGTGCATATTCTAAGTCAACGAGATAATTCCCACCCTGGTAACAAGTCAATCCCTGAGTCTCTGAAATGAGTTAGGGTTCATGAGTACATGAGTACATCTACGACGAAATGGGGATATTGGGCATTCCTCACGGACACTTCTAGTTGTTACCAGTTCAGATGACAACTCGCCGTAAGCTCTCACCTGGCTGCATGAATTCGAATAGAGTAAGGGGAAAGTATTATGAATCACTATATTTCCTCACATGATAATTAACCTTAATGTAGTTTGAAGGTCCCGGGTACCTTCTAACCAACCACGAAATCATTTTTACGAGACAAACTGGTAATTTATTAATTATTTGTAAAGTAACTATGCAAATGATTGTAATTTCTAGTCATTGCTGCCTTTTTACACAGAGAAATCTTTACCTTACAAGATAACCTTTCTGTGGTTTCACTGTGTGGAAATATTAGCTGAGCTATCAGTTACGTGGTTTTATTGTAGTGAAGTAACAGTATTAATGAACCGACGAATTACATTGGCATCATATCTCACCGTTACAACAGGAAGTAGTGATATAACATAATGCTCGAAGTCATGTTGACAAGTCACTGTCTTAACTATGCTCCACTTTGTATTAAAATGCAACAGTAAAGAGATATGTGGCCCATTTAGTTCAATCAGTGTGTAACGATAGAAGACAAGGGCCAGGCAACAGATTGTTTATTGAGAAAATCAAGTGTTATTTATAGATTTTATGTACGTCAGTGGTACAGCGGTTAAGACACTCGCCGACCATGCACAGAGTCCGGGGTTCGATCCCCTTCCGGCGCACACCTGTTATCAATGGTCGGCCTGCAAAACTTGGACTACCCATATCACATCCTGAAAATTCCACACTTGTACCAAAAATACTATAATCAAAAATAAAAATAAAAAATTATTGTTAGCGGAGAAGCAACCTCTTCTGATTGGTAGCTGTCTCGCTGAAGGTTATTCTGTTATCTCTGTGTGGCCGTTTCTCAGAAAATCAAGCCATACATCTGCGAATCATATTTCCACAAGCTAACTCCTCTGTGATTGGCTGGTGATTTTTCAATGTTAAGCTTTTTTTTGTTTTTCTCATGACCCTAACTCTGGACGTGAACATTGACGTAAATTGTTGTCTACAATTTTGGCTTGCAGCCGGCTGTCATAACAAGTGGACCCCACGTTTGGACGTTACTCAATCTTCTCCAGTATGAAAGGTTGAGTAAGCTCATCGCCCGTCACACAGAGAGGTTAAAACGAACTATAATGAGCAGAAATGTACGGGAGAAATAAAGCGTAGTAACATGGAAGAGAAAATAAAGACTCAATGGATATGGGAGATTGCATCCGCACCATTTAGAACGATTTCCAGCCACTATCATCAGTAGTCTCCAATCTGTGCGTATAGGTTCTTAGCATCCTGACTGAGGAGCTCAGTCAGCCTGGTAGTCTACACCTTCCCAAGTGGTTGGTTGGCTCGAACTAACTGTCAAAGACTCCATAGGTTGAAGGATTTCATCATGAGCTGACATCAGTTAGAGAACCATTGGAAAACCTGCAGGGGGAGGGAGTACTGGACAGGACAGCTGTTTCGTCCTAGTTTGTCAGCTCATGATGAAATCCTCCAACCAATCCTCAAACAAAATCCCTACAAAACTAATACTTGAAAACTTCATAGATAGGTTGGCTGACGACCACTCGTCGTTTTACTCTTTTCCAACCCCAACTCATATGATACATTGAAATGTGTGTGACAGACTACAATTGGATGTGTTTATTTGTACCACTTGCTTTTTTCTCTTACTACTACTAATTACCGTCTATTCACAGGTTAATTAGTTGGTCGGATGCCATTTGTGATGAAGACAGAGAGTGAACAGAGCGAGAGAGAGAGAGAGAGCAAGAATCAATAACAGCTGTTTATATAGTGTGAAATGTAATTTTTCACTAAATTCTGTCTGTCTGTCTGTCTCTGTGCCTGGCAGTCTGTTCTGTTGCATGCATCCACCCACGCATGCGCGCGCACAAACACACAAATGTAAACGCAACATTAATATACTGTGCTAATTATGAATATGTCCATGTAGCATCGAGTCATCATTTTTGCCATGTTCAACAATAATAATAAGCAGAATAAGAATTCAAATATATTTCTGACTTATACATGTCCAAACCAAGTTCACTTTTTTAACAGTTTGAAAAAAATTTAGGCATTGGGTATATGATATTCATTATAATAAAGAGGGTTTTATTTTGTATTTCCCAATGAATGAATGAAAAACAAAACGATATTATTGTGTTTTTACGAGTTGATCACGGATTGATATCATCAGTTAGAGAACCATTGAAAACCAGCACTGGAGTACTGGACAGCTAACTGTTTCATCCTAGTTTGGGAATCATCAGCAGTACGCACCCACTGGGATTCGAACCCAGGACCTTCCGGTTACAAGGCAAGCTGGCTCGTATACCATTCAGCCACTGGTACCCGCCCGATTCAATGGCCAGTGCATGAATTCTAACTTCTACCAATTCGTGATTTAGCACGACTGGCAGCAACCAATGTCGTTGGTGGGACATCCATCCTCACACGTGACATCTGGTTGAACCTCACTGGTCACGACTTCTCACTAGAACTCCAGGAAACTCCGTCCGTTCTGTAGCAAGTCACTAGCGAGCATCAGATTAATTTTCTATAGTTTGGTTTGTAAGGATTAGTTTTGTTTTTACGAGATGATCACGGATTGATATCAGTTAGAAGGGTCGCATTAAATCACAAATTGGTAGAAGTTAGAATTCATGAGCCATTGAATCGGGTCCCAGTGGCTGAATGGTATACGAGCCAGCTCGCCTTGTAACCGGAAGGTCCTGGGTTCGAACCCCGTGGTGTAGGTGCGTACTGGCGATGATTCCCAAACTAGGATGAAACAGTTGGCTGTCCAGTACTCCCTGGTTTTCAATGGTTCTCTAACTGATGATATCAATCCGTGATCAACTCGTAAAAACATAACTAACCCTCACAAACCAAACTATAGATATTGTGTTTACTGACGTTTCGCTATTTAATGCTGCTGCTAATAGCTTTATCAAAGTGGTAGTTTTATTAAACCAGAATTTACAAAATCCGCTCAGCATATATATAACAACTTAATCATCGTTCCAGTCTACTAGAATCAGATACAACGCTATCACAAAGATGTCCACTGGACACCAGTGAAATAATAATTAAGAGCTTGAAATTCTGTCTAGAAAGTAATTAATTTTACATTTAAAGGGAATTTATATAGACAGATAAAAATGGTGTTGCTATGGGTTCACCAGTTTCCCCAATCGCCGCTGATCTTTTCATGAATAGATTCGAAGATAACAACATCTTTTCAAGCATACTCACTCCTAAAATATGATTAAGATATGTAGATGATACTTTTGTAATGCTAAAACGAGATCTACACAGTTCATTCCCGGAGAAAATAAACAGTCTATCTCTCAGAATTCAGTTTACTTCGGAAGCAGGCAGAATCACACATTGGTGAACTGCCATTTCTAGACTGCCTGGCTAGTTAAGAGGAGGGAAAACGGACATTTTAGTAGATCCATATTCAGGAAGAAAACCCACTCCAAGAAATATTTAGACTTCGGATCATTACACCTCATCAGCGCTAAAGTATCAGTTGCTTCAAGTCTTCTTAGATGAGCACACTCTCTGATAACGGATGAGAAGAAAAAGAAGGAATATCAAACATCGCTGAGACTCAAGCAAAACGACTACCCAAAGAACTTCAACAAAATCAACACAGACATTAAGTATGGTCGAAAACGTATTCCG